TGATGTGTTGCAGTTTCAGACGGCAGCAGACGTGACGAACCTTCAATCTGAAACACACAGCGAGGGTCACAGACTGTCTCTCCAAGACTTAAAGGAACTCATTCCTGTCTCTATATCCTCCAGGGGTGATGACTGCAGCCTGGAGTTCAAACTAAACAGGCTGAAATGTCTTTCAGCTACTGTGCTGCCCCCTGCTGGAACCTGCTGCCCCCTGCTGTCCCATGCTTTTAATGGATCAAATCAAATCTGGCTTTAACTGGCTCTGTCTCCTCTGCCTTCATTAAATCTTTTAATCTTTGCACTTTAATGATATTATCTATTTTGTAATCAGTGTTTTTATACTGTTTTCTTATGCTTTTTACTTCTATTTTATGCCTCTTTTATCTCTGTTAAGCTCATTGAATGACCTCAGTGTCTGATGTGCTGTACAAATACATTTGCCTAAAATTGTAACACAACAGCTGTTCAGAAACTAACAGTATCTGTTCAGTTTGGTGAAGGACGTCGGTGGACTGTGTTGATTCAGCTCGTGTCAGAGGCAGGAACTGGAACTGTCCTGTTCACTGTCTCAGTCTGAAATGATGAAAAGGAAAGAAAAACACCAACACTGAACTCCAGGAGAATTTTAATGATGCAACATTTTGATCACTTGTTTGATTTTTGTCTCAGTTTTTTAAAATTGTTTTTGTGCCTTTTTAAGAAAATGGTAGAAACTTTGAAGGTCAAAATGTTGCATCGTATAAAGTTTGTGCACACTGCCTGTTGTTGAGAGCTTTCCTCAGGTGCATTTAATGAATTTATCAGGGTTTAATTACCACACAGTTCAGATTACAGTATTTAATTCTATTTGTATTCTATAATTATTTTACTGTGCCAAACGGTGGTAGAATTGCATTTATTGTTCGTGTCGTACACCCTCCATCCACAGGGAGGCGCTCACACCCACCCGGACCGACGAGAGGATCCACAGCAACTCGTCCGCTCACAGAGGAGGCTGTTCTCGTAGTTAGCAGCTGATCTGGGAGCAGATTTGATTGACGGTCATCAGCTGTTGTATTCCCGCGTTATCGGGATTAAGGCCGACCTCAGATCAGCTGTCAGTCAAATACAGGATCTCAGAGGAGCACGAGCACCGGAGACGAACCGCGGGACAAACCATCATGTAGGTACCGGGTCAGGGTGAGAGAGCTGTGGGTTTATGTTCTCTAATAATCAGTCAAGTTACGGTTCTTCATATTAACCAGCGTCCTGCTCTGTATGTACTGCTAAAGCTAACAGGAAGCTAACGAGCTAGCTGCTAGCATGTAGCCCCGACTCCCCGCTGTCACGTTAGCAGTTTTACCTTAAATGGAAATAGAAGAAGAAGAGGAGGAGGAGGAGGAGGAGGAGGAGGAGGAGGGCGAAGAGTTATTAACAGTTAGTCTCTTTGTGTGTTCTTGTGTTAAACAGAGAAGAAGAATGACAGTCAGTACTCCAGTGAAAGGACAAATATTACTAAATTAAAATCCTCCATTACAAGTAAAATCCTGCAGCAGTGATCACGGTTTAGATAGATAGATAGATAGATAGATAGATTGATTGATAGATAGATAGATAGATAGATAGATAGATAGATAGATAGATAGATAGAGAGTATGCTTTATTAATCCCAGATTGCAGTGTTGAACTAGCTACTTCACATAATCACAAAAACAATTAAGTGGGTAACAAACTAAACTTATTAGATAGGCTGAACATAAATATAATTATATATATAATTCAAATATATATAGCTTTATCTATATCTATATATAGAGATATATATAAAGAGTAAAGATACACCAATAATATACTATATTCTGAATAAAACTTTACAATGGCAGTAATTTACTATAATACACTGGACATTAGTGCAAGTCAGGTGGAGATGAAAAAAACTTGAAATATCAGATTAATATATAATATTAATATATAATATATAGATTGATATATAACATGACATGCAGTGTAGGGGCCCAAAGTACAAGCTGTTTCTTTGTAAGAGATCACAAACTAACACGGTTGTAAATCACTGGTTTAATCTTGTATCGTGTATTTTGGTGTACTGTACTTAAATATCAGTAATTGCAGCTGTCACATAAATGAAGTGGAGTAAAAACTGCAGTATTTCTCTGTGATATGCAGTGGGGTAGAAGTATAAAGTACTGTACTTGAGTATATACTCACTTTCCATTTCTGTCACTGAAGCACTTTCTCGCTCTGAGATTAAGGATCTACATGACATGAGGTCTCACTTGAGTTGTAGTTGTATTTTTTACATAAATATTTAAATGTAGTTTTTAACCATACATCTATATATAGTATATGGGTTATACCTGAAGGTTTTGGTATCTCATGAAACAGCTAAAGCTACATCTGTTAGCTCATGGCTGCTGCCTGTTTCTTTGACAGGACAGTCATTATTACTGCTACTTACAGCAAGGGTCCTGAACCAGGATTTACCAACATTTATACTGGAGCTGTGTGGTGGCTTATTCCTCAAGACTGAGGCAGCAAGATTATTTAATGTAGGCATATGAAAGTTAATGTGGCTTAATGTGGAATCTGTCCTCACCTCCACCATGATTATATTTTACTGCCCACACACCTTTGTTTCTTTACTCTAAAAGTTTTCAGGTAAATGGCCAGTGAAGAGAATCTAGTCACGTGACAGTATGTGAATAACTTCTGGGAGAGACGCTGCAAAGAGCAAAACTAATGACTGACCGGAAGTCAGACCCGGGAAATAACTCTACACCGCTGTGTGAGGTGGAATATGGACCATGAACATTTATGTTGTCGCACACAGCCAGAGGTTTACGTGAAGTAGCTTCTTAGTTAAAAAAAAAAAAAGAAGCTCTCGCCGTTTTCACATTGCGCATGTGCGAAAAGGAACCGACTATAGGAAATGTTTTAACCGAGTGAAAGGTTTTAAATCCAGAAGAAACGTCACTAGGTCGAAAGAAAGCGCGCCATGTTGACAAAATGACAAAACATTAGCTCGGAGCTGTTTTAGTCCAGGTGGAACGGAGGCGATAACTTTCTTGATTCATTTAATCTCTGCATTTCGTTCTGCGCATGCGCACAGTTTGAAGTGGAAAGGGTACAAAGACAAGCTTCTCTGGACGACGAAACATCTCACACAGTATCGATTTGGTCAATCGTCACTTAATCATCAGTTTCTGCTTTTATCGACAAGAAACAGGAGTTTGTACAGGAGTTTAAGGACGTTGTTCTAACAGAAGAGGCGTGGTCGCGTTCACCATGTTTCCACAATGCATAGCGGTGGTGCAGCGATATTGTAAATGTTAAACTCTTTATATTTACACTTTAGTGAAAACGGCGAGGTGTGTGTGTGTGTGTGTGTTTACCGGACAACATTAGCTTTTATATTTCTGATAAATACGGAATTTCAATTTTTTATTCTTCACGTCTGTTCATGAACCGTAACAGAGAAGGCTGAGGCGGAGAATCGGGTCCGTGACTCTACGCTGTCTTCTTCAGTACACTCTTGTTTCTCTTCAGATCGTATAAATCTTTCGCCTTTTACTAAAGATTTCCGTGGAGAGGAACAATAAGAGTTTCATCCAATTTTTTGATGCCCTGCTTCACTGCGGGGCTTCCTCTTTTGTTGAATAATAAATAAATGTTTTACTTTAGTGAAATATATAAAGGTACATATATACGTGTCTCTTGACGTCATTGTGACGTAGCCAGGAAGGTTGTGTTACTTATATTACTAAACAAGAAAGTTATCAGGTTTACTTCTTCAGAATTGATCACTTAAACTAGATAGTAATAAAAACAATTAGAAGGATAAAGATTATTAGTAAAGAATCTTTCATACAAATGTTTTTTTCATACAAAGAAAGGACCTGCACTAAGTGCTTCACATGCAAAGAAATCAAATGAACATAAAACACAAAACAAAAAAAAACCATTAATGTGAAATGAGATGGAATAATAATAAAATGATAGATAAAAATAAAGATGCTCCTCTGATATCTCTGATCTCTACAGGTCGTGTGCTCCATAGTTTCAGCTGCATTAAAGTCAGAGGCATCACACTGATCTTTACTAATGAAACGCAGCACGGCTCCTTTGGTGGGTTCAACAGACCCAGGATAACGTTTAGTTATCTGGCTTGACTGAACCTAACATTGACCGTCCTGATCACCTGTACCATGAAGCAGGTTATCACCTGGCTCAGTTAACCCCGGGTTCACCTGTCCGGCTACGAGCGCCTTCATGTGAAAGAGGCTGAGTTGTTAATTATAAGCAGCGTCGTCAGAACCTCGAATGAAGTTTTAATATGATATTATAAGAAACACTGACACCTGCTGGTGAGTTCGGTTACAGCAATGTCCAACAGTGATATTCAACAAGGTGAAATGTAACAATATGATCACATGACTGGAACAAAAAAATATTATTCCCACATCTAAATATAATTTCTGTCAGACTAAAGATATATTGTAAATAAGAGCATGAATTATCATCACGTTTGATTATTTTCTCTCTTCAGTCAGATGATGAACAAACTGTTAATGTGTTAATGTCAGACTGTTTCTGCTGCAGAGAGGAGAGAGAGAAAAGAGGAGAGGAAGAGGAGGAGAGGAAGAGGAGGAGAGAAAAGAGGAGAGGAAGAGGAGGAGAGAAAGAGGAGGAGAGAGAAAAGAGGAGAGGAAGAGGAGGAGAGGAAGAGGAGAGGAGGAGAGGAAGAGGAGGAGAGGAAGAAGAGAGTAAAAGCTTCATCATTGGCAGGAATCTGTGTTCAGGTCAAATGAAGCTCTGACAGTGATTAGATTTTATTTAGTGATAAACTGAATTCTGCAGAAGCTTTGGTTTAAAACCAGAGAGACACATGGAAAGACTCAAACAGGAAAACGATTCCACTGATCTATATGTTCTATCTACTGATCGTTATTATTGATCACTTTATTGTGAACTCTTTTGTCCCTGTCAGGATCCTGTAGGAATGA